TCAAGCGAGCTGCAGGCATGTCCAGGCGAGCAGCTTCCTCAAGTTCGACTATCACTCAGAAACTAGGCGTGGTACTATGTTGGTGCAATAAGCCATGTGTGGTCAAGACATCCGGCACAGATTTGAACCCAGGCAGGCAGTTCTATGGATGTCCTTTTTGGAAGGTAAGGTGGCGTAGACATAATTTATGCATCTTTGTGGTACTTGTCTTTGAGCTAGAGTCGCAAGTTTATTGCTGTTATGGTGCAGGACGAGACGAAGAATTGTCGCTTTTTTAGGTGGGTGCGATTGAATGTGGATGAAGATAAGCAAGCAAACTCTGAAAGTAGTTCGATTCTGAAGCTCGAAGACAGTTTTCGTATAGCACAGTGTAAGGCTGAGAGGAGGAAGAAAGAGAAGAAAATTATGTCCGATGAGCTATCTAGATGGATGAAAGCACATGAGATTATGGTTGTTGAAGGAAGGAGGGTTAATCATGATATTCATGTAATTCGATATCAGTTCATTGTTATTGTCGTACTGAATTTGATAATGGTTGTTCTTCTATGGCACCACTTTCTGATGTAGAAAGTTTTGTAATTTGACAAGGTTGTTTCGTATGTGTAAGAACCTGTTGGTATGTAGGATCTATGAAAAAGGTTGTTTTCTAAGACACAATCTTCATTCCAAACTAATAAAGGTGTTCCAATTTCATTACATACCCCCATTACAGAACATAGTAACCATAATACGAAGTGTTCACAATCCGACCTAAAATAACATACTCCGAAGTGTTCACAATCCGACCTAAAAGAACATACTTGGCCCTAACATACAAGGCCATTACATGAGACAACTTATCAAAATGACTACCTGGCCCTAACATATAAGGCCATTACATGGCAGAACTTCTCAAAATGTATACTCCACCCCTAACTGATATAGCAAAATAGTTGACTCATGCCATCACACTTCTAAGGTTGTGTTGGTGGGGGTTGGCTTCCACGCAGCTGGACCTCATCATGTTGAGTGCCTCCAACAGCACGTCCCCTCGAGCCATTCAGCTGCAATATCAGAAGAGAAATTCATGAGACAGTTTGCATCATAATGGACCAATCTTTAACATCAAATTGGTACACACGAATGCTTACTATGACGTATTGGTTCCCAGTTTCCTCAGATACATAAACTCCAACTCCTCTAGTGGCAACCCGCATCTCACGTTCAATAGTCCTCCGGTCACCAACATTGATCTGAACAGCCTTCCAGTACATTGGCAAGAAAGGTAATTATCATCTATACACAATATAATTATATCTACAATCATTCTATACACAATCTAATTATATCAACTTACTTGAATACCAACTCCTCGATTTAGAGGACACGTTCTGGCATTATGGCCTTCACCGCCACACTTGGGCAATGGCCGACTCTAGTTTTCCGAGCTGTAGGTTCTGTATTTCCTGAATTTGGTGCGGTTGTTCTTGGTCGCTTTCCTCTACCTCCACCTCCATTATTGTTAGCCTAACAAAATGAAAAACAACATCACACCATTCAGTGAAGCAATCACGACATTAGCACCGTAGAGAACTACAATTCAAAATGAAAAGTACATACAACAGCAGTAGGAGCAGCACCAGGAGCTGTACACGTTCTCGCATTATGGCCTTCACCGCCACACTTCTTGCAATGAATCACTGACCCCCTCCTAACCACCTCCTCTCCCACTCCATTTCCTTGAGGCCTAACCTCGAGTGCGTGAGCAGACTTTCTGCGATTCTTCTTCGGTCTACCATGCATACTTCTCTGCTTAGGTGGGTGCACTGGATATCCTACGGCAGCAGGCCAAGCTTGTCTACCGTCGAGACAAGGTATGCCATACTTGTACGCGCATTCAGCATTGCATACAAGGTAGGTTGGATGAACATAACTGTCTACCTCCTTCCTCAAATGAGAAATGGCAGACACAGCATGGCAGCATGGAATGCCGCTAAGTGTCCACCACCCACACGTGCAAGACTTTTCCTCTAAGTCAACAATATACCCTGCACCCCCCATCTTCACCTCACATTTATCATTCAAAGTCTGTCTCGCTGTGCACAACCTAGTCAATGCTTTCTCTTTCTCTACCCTCTTCCTAATCCTAGGGCATAAAACATTAGTCGTGTCTAGCAACATCTTGTATTTCACGACAACCCTATCCATTACATAGCCCCTAATTCCCTCTAACATGTCTATGATTCTCATACATCTATACTTAACTATCACACCATTCCATGTTTCACAGATATTTGACTCAACCGAATCGCACTTGGGAAGAGGAGACAAGTATGCTCGACAAAACGACCTAGGTTCTGCATTCATGAACTCAGTAAAGGGTGTGTCACCATGTTCCTCACCTTCAATTTCATGCAGCTCAGAAGTCGCCTTCCTCCAGTCCACCTCGTTACATGAGTATACTGCATTCCAAAATAGTTTTCGAACACAGTCGGTCTTGTTTCTCACTTTCCAGTTTGCATACACATGCCTTGCGCACTTTCTATGTTCTGCCTCGAGTAGAAGCTCATGAATGGCTTCTACTAACCCCTACAATACATCAACATTGGATATTAGAAGTCTTGTTTGACCTTCCTATATATCTCAACTTAGCATAGGAAGCATATAAACATACATTTTGTTGATCTGAGATCACCGACCAGCCTTTACCGTCAGCTAGGTGTAAATCTTGAGCTAATGTGTTGACGAACCACCTCCACGAGTTAGAATTTTCTCCCTCGACAACCGCCCACGCAATTGGATACATTTGGTTGTTGCTATCCTTCCCAACAGCAATGAGCAGCATACCCTTAATCTCTCCCTTCAAGAAACACCCGTCCAATCCAAACATTGGACGACACCCTTCAAGAAAACCATCCCTCAAACTCGAAAACCCGATGTACATACGCTGGAAGTACACCTTGTCTTGTGTAGGGTGTGGTTCAACCTCAAGCTTGAAAGTTCCGTTTCGATCACGCTTCACTAACTCACCCAAATAGGATCTGATTTTCTGGTACTCCTCTATAAGTGAACCTCCCAACATCTTGATTGCGCACACCTTGGCTCTATAACACGTTCTTCGCTTCACTTCCATATTGTGCTTTAGCTTAACTTCAGCCATAATCTGATCAGGAGCCCATTCGGGGTTAATTCTAAACCTCTCGAGCATATCACTAGCAATCCAGTGTGCAGTAACTTGGTTAACACGAAGCTGCCTTGCACAAGAATGAGGCAGACCAGCCTTCCTAATCATGAAACTCTGATTGCGACGGAACCAACTAGCATAAAGCTTCCATTTGCAATTCTGGTCCTTGCATCTAACCTCCCTCCTACTTGGAGTACTCCTAACCCATCTCAGACAAGCCCCAGCAGCTACAGAGTGACGAACAACAGCGGCCTTGAATTCCTCTACACTAGCAAACTTCATTCGAGGCACGAATTGGAGAAGCTTGTGGTCACATTTCGGATCATATTGCGGTGCATCGTCGAATATGTCCCTGCCATCCGAGTCCGACAGGTTAGGTCGAACATGGTTTGACTCTTCTGAAAGCCTGTAGCTTGAATGGTTTGAGTTTTGGCCCCTTGCTTCCTGGACGTTCTCTGCATCATCAACATGAACCTCATCTTGGCATTGTGAAGCAACAGGAGCTGCTCCCTCAGCAGCCAACCCATCAGTTTCAGAATCTTCATCATCTGATCCTTCTTCCTCAAAATCATCAAGTTGTTCAACCTCCTCCCCATAGCCATCAACCCGCGCCTTCACCTTCCTCTTCTTCATCTCCCCATAAGCTCGCAGATTTGTCCTTGCTTTATGGTATTCATCGTCAGATGTATCTGCATCATCTGATTCGTATACGTGGTATATGTCTCGAGCAACAGAGGCCTCAACACCATCATCTGCAGCCAAGGATTGATCTGATAAAACAACAGCCGCTGGATCGTTCTCCCCAAATGCTTCATCCCAAGAATCAGCCATCTGCCATTCACGATTAAAATGTATTATAATCACCATTAACCACGTGATTATACAAAATAAACAGTATTTTACTCACTACCTAACAAATGGAAAACAACAACGAAAAACAGTATTCAATTCTAGGGTTCGTGGACAGCAAGAGGAATTGACAAATCTAACCTAGTAGAATCGACCCACTCACCTTCAGTTATGGGGGCAAACTCGCCAAAAGGATCAATCCAGTGGTCCCTAGATTTATCTGTCATGTCGCTCTCTCGTCTTTACAGCTCGCTACCAACCAAAAAAGAAGAAACTATAAGAACCTAGCCCTTTCCTCAAACCTTCAGTATTCAATTACAGCTCGCTATGAAACCCACAATATAGAACCAAGAAAGTTTCCTTACCAGTCGCGACTGACGAGGGAGAGCACAAATCGAGCTTTGAAGTGAGATTAGGGTTTCAAAGTAGAATCGCGTCGGTCGATTCCGAGATTCCTCCAAAGCATACAGAAGAGAAGAAGCTTCGAAGGACTCGGCCAAAGCTCGGCGTCGGTTAGTCAACCCATCCTCTGTATGTGTTTCTCGAGGAAGGAGGCGGTAGGTTCAACTCGATCGATGGAGGAAAATCGAGACTGGGGAATGAGGGAAAATTGATGGTGGAGGAAGGAATACAGTGGTAGGGGGTTCGTCGGAGGAAGATCCTCCTTCGTCGCCTTTGTGGTCGATAACTTCGTCAATGAGATTCAGAGGGGTTAGATGAAGAGGATAAGGAAAGAGGAAAGAGAGCGCAAAAAGGTGGGTGGGTAAAAATTAGTGGTTTCTGATTTTGTAATTTTTTTTTAATTATTGTCCACGTGGAAATCTGTGGCGGTCCACGTAAGCTGCTCTGTTTGCGCAGTCACACTTAACGTTAACAACGTCAAAGAATTGGACGGACTTGGCTATAAGTGTATTTCACCAAATGTAGCTATTATTGGCACAAACGTGAAAGTTTTGGCTATGGAACTGTATTTTGCCATTTAAAAATAAAGAAAAACATCCATACATCCTCCCAATACTATATACACGTTCCGCCTGGGAACATATGTAAAGCTAAAATCCTAGCTTCCTGCGCAACTTACGGAAGGACAAATTGGTCTTTTTGGGCTATTAATTTTTACTGCCCTGCAATCCCACTTTCGTGCTTAAAGTAGCTTCCTTTTCTATTGGGTTCGACAATCATGGGCTTCATTTAAATTGCTACTTGGCTCGCTTCCAATTCAAACACAAAATTTTAAGAATATTTTATTTTATGAATATAGTTGTTATTTATTCATGAATGTAAAACAACTTGACTTTGGAAATACTATTAATTCCAAAATTGTGAAGGATATTATATGAAACAGGATATATACCAGTTGAATGTTACTCACACGATTGGTTAATTATTCTCCATAGTTGTCCGTATTGAATTAGTGAATTAGTCTCTATATAAGGTACATATATTCAATCAGTCAAATGCTTTTTTAGTACTTTTCACAATTATTCATGGGCAACTTTCTCAAGAAAACAACCCTTCCAGGTGTAAAAACCATGAAGAAAATGAACTAATCATATATCACACACGTACGTCAAATTTGGATATATCTACACATAAGTATCAAGTTTTCCCGACCAACGGGTCGGGTTCTATGCTAGTATGTTATAGGCATTTACTTATACCGTATTTTACTGGGTTAAATAGCTGTTCTGAAAAAATAACTCAACAAAATAATAATAACAAAAATATAATAATTATAATAAAACAATAGGGCTCGGGTGGAGACCCGGCACCACTATTCGGCTTGAAGAGGCTTGGTCTCTACTGACTACTGATCATCCTGCAGGAACTTTTCAATCTACCTCTTTCAGCATTCCCCTTGGCAAAAGAAAGTTCATGCACCTTTCCAGTTCTGATACCTTACTGGGAGATTCCAAGCTAGCAGGATCATTAGGAGCTTTGATGGCTGTGGTTCTTCCTCCTCTGGAGAGATTGTCTTCCACGTCAAAGGATTCGTCACCTTGACCAGGCTTTAGAAAAGTAGAAGAAGTAGCATTGCTCAGTCCCCCCTTGGAGCTTCCAGCTATTGCTTCCTCAACCATGTCGCCATTAAATACACTGTCCCTCAGTATACCAGTAACCCGAGAAAGACTACTTCGGACATTTTTATATTCTCCACTGATCTGCAAAAGATAACAGGTTTTAGTCCATTTCCAAGGCCAGAAAATCCAGGATTCCAACATGAACTGAAACTAAAAGGGAAGTTGTCTGGTTCAAAGCAAGTTAGAGACCAATTGCGAGGAAACTATACGTTTTCCCTGTTTTGAGATTGTAAACCAGAAACTGAATCAGCACATAAAATTGCAAGAGATGGACCACAGATCCTCAAAACAATCCATTACACAATATAGGAGGGAACCTATCCGGACTATAATCTTCATTCTTCCATAATGAAAGAAATAGATAATAAGCTGATTGAAAGTTATTGAAATGAAGATAAGCATAAAACTTAGAAAGCTTCACTAGAATGTCAATTTACACTAACCGTCATAGATGACAGCAAAGTACAAAAACCATAAAAATGAGAGGTGAGGGAATATAATTAGGCCGTCAGAAACACACCTCTAAAACAAAATCACTAGTCGAGTCCTCCAATGCCTGTAATTCGATAGTAGCACCTTTGGAAGCTTCTGTACCATTGCAACCAGCAAGGAAAGACACATGATCCAAATCCAGCAGGAGCCTCGCTTTCACAGCAGTGCCATCAGTTAAGGCCCATGATGAATGTGACTTTTCAAACTCACTCTCGATAGATCTAGCAAACACCAGATCTGCAGCACTCTGTGCAGGGGAACAGCTACATTCCAGAATCTACAAAGAGAGAGACCCCATATACAAATGGCAACGATACACATGAAGTGAGCTTATCATCCCCCAAATTACGGTATGCGAAAAATTGGAAATGACATGAAACTAAGACAGCAGTAACAAGTATAAGCATAAACGGACCTCGAAAGCTGAAACAGTGACTACCCTCTCCCCACTCCTGGTTTTTGGAGCAGCAAAACGGATAGAAGCACCAGTTTGATTCTGCAAAGACTTAACTCTAGACCCTCCTGTGCCAATTATGCTTCCGGCGGCATCATTGGAGACAAGGAGTCTGAATGAAACTTCCTGACTATCATCGTCGTCACCATTGGTCAACGAGTTATTAGTATCAACAGGATTATGAATCGAAGATGGCAGCTTGGAACTAAGATGTGGAAAGAACTCCAAATGTTGCTCAAAAGGTGTTGTGGGGGAAGATCTCTCTGTTGGTCTCATTGGGATTGGGAATGGATCTCTTTCAAATGGAGAACAACCTTGAAGACGAGCAGTGACTACAACAATCGCTCTCTTCACAGCCAAAACCGAACCAGTAATCTGCAAACATAAAATAATTCCAGCCACTAAGAACCTAGTTACTAAAACAGACATAATGCAGCTCAGTTTTAACATAACTGAGAACTCAGAACCCTATTAACCATAGTTTCCCCCATGTTAATGGGGTTGAATTGAAAAGTCTGATACCAACTTCATGCAAAGCTTTCGCGAATCAGAGTGAGGAAACAAACACTAGGGAGATCAGAAGGGACGGTTTATGGACCTGACATTACCTGAATCAATTGCTCGTCCGGCGAGGCGCATGGCGGGGCCGGCAAGATATTGATATGGGCTCCACTGATTGACTTCATCCTGTTGATCGTCCTCCCACCTTTCCCCACAACAACGCCAACCTGTTGCCCGTCGGCCAGCAGGCCACAGAACCCTTCATTACTTCCGCCGCCGCCGCCCACCGCCTTCCCTCGCCATTTAACGCGGCAGACTTCCCACATCCTCTCCATAACCCTCAGCACCGCCTCCTGTGCGTCCGAAACCAGCTCCTCGCCGGACCCTTGGTACTCCTCCGCCGCCGCCCTCAACGCGAGCCGCCGCTCCGGAGTGGCCGAGCCGACCACGAGGAACACGCGGTGCTCCGCGCCCTCCACCAGCTCCTCGCAGGTGACAATGCATGAGGTTTCCCGGCGAATGTGGGAAACAATGGAGCCGGAGGCACCGATCACGCCGCCGACAGCGGAAGTGTGGCAGACGATCTTAAAAGCAGCCTGACCAGGCCGGAGATAATCTATCACCGGCCGGCAAGTTTTACTACGGTGGTTGCCAAGGCGGCGGTGGTGGCCGGGATTTTGCATTGACGGGTAAGCGGTTGTCGTTGATTCTTCTTTTCTAAATGGTAATCTTTTCGGCGGCGATTCTTGGAGAGCGAGAGGGAGTACCCTTCTTCCGATCCCAGTGGGATTTGTTTGGTAAAAGAGTATTGTAATGTATTGTTCGGCTCTCTCTCTCTCTCTCTCGAGTCTCGGACCTGACCGCCTGTGTCCGTACAAGACTGCAAGTTACAACTGTAGCCCAATTTCGTAGACAATGAATGTTGCGTGTAGGGATGGCAACAAAACCCGAACCCACGGGTACCCACCCGACCCAATCCGGTCAACGCGGGTAAAATCCGTGTTGACAGGTTTTGGGCCGGGTTTGGGTTTAAACCCGTTCACTATTCACTGGGTTGGGTTGGGTTGGGTTTGGGTTTAGGTAAACCCGGCCCGTGGGTACCCGCCCACCAATATAATTAATTTTTCGGTATATTTAAAATTCTAAACAACTAATTTTATTTCTGTTTATGGAGACATGTCTAATTTTTTCTTTTTAATTGTGTAGAATGAAGTTGATGGTATGGAGTGGAGAGTAAAGAAACTTAATTGAAAGGAAGAAACTTTCAATTAAACATGTTATTTATGGATAATTTGTGATTTGCTTCAATTTTCTTGAGTTTTCTAGATTGGTGTTGAACAATTTGTATTGTTAATTTGTGATTTGCTTGAATTTTCTAGAATGGTGTTTTATATATGGATAATTTGTATTGGGAGATTGATATTTGACTTTAATTTTGATAAGAACTTGTAATTGTAAATTTTTTACGACAAAACCCGTGGGTACCCATGAACCCGCGGATACCCAACGGGTTGGGTTGGGTTTGAGTTTTTCAAACCCAGTGGGTTTTACCCCGGGTTTTTTTCAAAGATAAACCCATGGATTTGGATTTGGGTTTGGCAAAACCCGACCCAACCCGACCCATTGCCATCCCTAGTTGCGTGTTGAGAAGTAGAAAACCATTTCAGAACCCAAAGTTGTGAAATTATTTTGTGGATTTGTTTTGCGTTTGAAATTAATAAATAAGTATGCTTATAATATTTTATGAAAAAGAAAAGTTAGATGGATAAGAGATATTATATGCATAATATAATACACATGTCATGGCCTCATGGGTAGTTATAATTTTGCTCTTTGTGGCAAGATGGTAGACTTTTGTTAATTATGGGTAGTAAGTGACTAAGTGGTAAGTTACATATTTATTCTTACCTTAACAAATCAACAATAAAAATCGGTGGTCTGGCCAATCACTTTTCCTCTACATCCCAATTGAACTGTATATGGGTGAGGATATGGGCAATCTGATTCTCATTTCTTCCCCAAAATAGCCACTGTGTGCCCTCCATTTCCTCCGCCAGAGCTCAGATTTCTTCACAGACTCATCCAATCGCTTGGGTGGAAGTTTCTTCTTTGTTTAGTTTAGACACTATGGTTTGGCAGTCCGTCTCCAGGATAAACGGTGGTAGGTGATGTTCTCGAGCAAAGCGCAAAGCCCAAAGCAAGGCTTGGCCTTCGGCCATTTCCGGTCGCCACTAGCGTTGATCCAGTTTCAACGCTGCCGCCCTGAAGTGACCTCGTTCATCCCTAACAATCAGCCCCATACTTGTGCCAGCTGCATCGAACACCGCCGCGTCAACATTCATTTTCAACAAACCCATCGGAGGAAGCTGCCAATAGGAGATGTGTTCCCGTTCAAGTACTGCTCCCCTCTTCTGGTTTTCCACGAACTCTTCCAGGTAAGACTCTGATCTGACAAAAATCTCCCATTCCTCGAGTTTGCTATTGTTGAATAGGTGATTGTTTCTATTCCATATGAATCATAGGAATATGGTGAATTGTTGTAGTTTCCCGTCATCGTAGTATTCAAGGATCTCGCAAATCCATTCCTCACATGTCATATCCTCTCCTTTCTTGAAACAACTTGCCAATGGGGATGGTCTCCAAATTCTAGTTGACCAGGCACAATTCCTGAAAATGTGCTCTTGGGATCAGATAACCCACAAAAAGGGCATCCTTCATAGCCATTTTGTAGCCTAGAGTTCAGATTAGCATTTGTTAGTAGAATGTTTAGTCCCCATTTTCAGAAGAAGAGCTTAACTTTTGGGGGTAGCTCCAGTTTCCATAGTCGTGTCCAATTTATTGGGATGTACCATTCACCTTCTTTTTCTCTCTGCTTAGCCCTCCACAGTACATATCCAAATTTGACCCTATATTGGCCCGTCTTCTCTAAACCAAGTATTGAGTATCTCGGCCTAGTTGTCGAGGAATAGGGATCTATTGAATTATTATACGATCATGTGGGTGGAAGTGAGTCTGCAGCAGGTATGTTCGTCATGTTCTGAAATCATGAGCAATCAGGTTGTCTACTGTCGTCTGTAAACCCATTCTAGCCATAGGAGTTGTTACCTTATAATTCACAACCTCCGGGACCCACTTATCCCATCATACTTGGATATTCCGTCTATCCCCAACCCTCCATCTCGTCCCCATGTTAACTAGATCTTTAGCAGCCATCAAACTTCTCCAGATGTGACTTGGCCTGTATCACATAGTTGCTTCCAGGATTGACGAATTTGGGAAGTACTTAGCCTTCATAATTCTGGCCACTAGGGAGTGTGGTTTTTGCAAAAGGTTCCACACCTGTCTGCCTAGTAACGCTAAATTGAATCCATGTAGTTCTCGAAATTCAATACCTCCTTCTTCCTTTGTTCTGCACAACTTTTCCCAGCTGATCTAGTGTATTCTTCTTTCCTCCTTTTTCTGTCCCCACCGGAAGCCTGTGATTCGTCTTCTTATCTCATCCAGAATTCATTTAGGGATCAGAAAAACTGACATTGCATATACTGCTTGGGATTGTGTAATAGACTTGATTAGCACCTCTTTCCCAGCATTTGATAATAGCTTATTCTTCCAAAATTTCACCTTCTTTCGCACTTTGTTAACTAGGTATGTGAATACCTGCTTCTTAGCTCTTCCAACTACGGTAGGAAGTCCTAGATACTTCTCATGATATGGGACATGTCGCATTTGCATAATAGCAGCCAGTTCTTCTCTTTTTTCCTCTAGAATATTCTGACTGAAAGAGAGCTCTGATTTGCGGACATTAACCATATGTCCTGATTCTTGTTCATATATCCTTAGGATATCTTTTAGAGCCCTACTCTCCTCGCTCGTAGCTCTGACAAAGAATTAAGATGATATCATCAGCAAACAGTAGGTGGGATACTCTTGGGTCATTTTTTGTAACTTGGAGTCCATGTATTTTTTCTTCTGACACAACTTTTGTTGTTAGAGCCGATAGGCCCTCAACATATAGAAGCAATAGATATGGTGAGATTGGATCTCCTTGCCGTAGTCCCCTTGTTGGGTGAAAAGTCTCTGTCTAATGACCATTTATCAGTGTTGAAGAAGAGACAGTAGTAACATACTGCATGATTATCTTGATCCATTGGTTCGCAAAACCAAACTTCTCCATCATCGCTCTTAGAAAAAGGTCATTCAACCCGGTCATAAGCTTTTGCAATGTCCAGTTTTGCAGTCATAAACCCCAATTTCCCTTTGATTCTATTCTTCATGGCAAAGAAACTTCAAAAGCAATCATGACATTGTCTGTAATGTACCGCCCAGACACATAAGCACTCTGACTTTCATCGATTATCTCATCCAGGATTGTTTTTAGTCTATTAGCTAACACTTTGGAGAGTATCTTGTAGAGTACCTTACAAAGGCTTATGGGTCAAAAATTTGTTAGCGATGTAGGTGTCTTCGTCTTAGGGATAAGAGCAATCAAGGTATGGTTTAACTGTTGTGGGAAAGATCCTGTTGCAAGGTAGCCTTGTATCTCCTGAGTGACAGCAGGTCCAACAGTTGCCCAATTTTTCTGGAATAAAAAGAGCTGACATGCCATCAGCTCTAGGTGATTTGTTCGGTCCCATCTTCTTTAGGTTAGTCCAGATTTCCTTCTCCGAGAATGGCATAAGAATCCTGGCATTCATAAAGGCAGTGGCCTTTCTTGGAACTGCATCAATGATCTGAGACGAGGCAGGTTGGTTTCCAGCCGTGAAAAGGCTTTTTAGGTTGTTAATCATGCATGAGGACACAACTTGTTGTCCTTTATAGGATCGACCTTCCTCATCAGTGAGATGTGTGATAGTATTTCTTTCTCTTCTTTCAGTAGCTTTCCTATGAAACCACTTGGTGTTTTGATCACCTTCTTGTAACTAGTCAATTCTAGAATGTTGTTTCCACATCTATTCCTCTTGGGCTCGCAGTTCGTTCAGTTCCTTACGGGAAACTCCTTTGAATGATCAGGGTTGGGTTCTTTCTCCTTCTAGCAATTTCTTTCATGCATTTTTTAGCCTTATTGATTCTCCACTTCAAGTTGCCAAAGTTTTCTTTATTCCAAGTTGTTAGACTTTGTTAACAAGCTGCTATTATGTCCATCATTGATCTATCCGAATTTTGCTGCCATGTGTCCTTAACTATCTGACCACATGCTTCATGTTTTTTCCAAAATGACTCAAACTGAAATGGCCATCCCCATTTGGTAGGTTCTTCCTCCAATCGCGTTTCCAGAAAGATGGGTAGATGGTCTTAGTCACATTTGTTCAAATGTAGAACTTTAGGTTGTGGGAATAAAGTTGTTCATCCATTTTTTGCCACCATTCTATTCAGGTGTTCCTCCAGGAAAGTTTCATCAGCATGTTCGTTGTCCCAAGTGAAGGGGGTCCATGATAGCCTAGGTTCATCAAGTGACAGTCATCGAGAGCTGCCTGAAAATCTTCCATTCCTTTAGCATCTGGTAGATTCAGCCCTCTCTTATCTTCATAACCAAGAACCTGATTAAAATCTCCACATAGCAACCATGGCTTGTCCACTAGCCTATGTAGCCATCGTATTAGTTCCCAAGTATTCTTTTTCTTATCCTGTTCTGGCGATCCATATATGCCCGTGAATCTCCAACTGTCATCTTTAGTCTTCCCTCTGATTTTAGCATCCATATAGTTTGGGGAACATCCTTTTATGGTTAGGTCAACGTCATCCTACCATAAAAGCAATAGCCCTCCACCTTTTCCTTTCGCTATTATATCTACTCCCCGACCATTTTTCCATCCCAAGTCCTTTATCGTTTGTTTCCACTCCTTCTCATGTAGCCTAGTTTCCATTAAGAAAACTATTTTGGGTGTTTTTTTCCT